TTTAGGTGTTCATCATTTTGCCACATCCATTTTCCAACTTCCACAAATGTAGACATTTAGCCAATAGTACTATCTGAAAAGTACACTATTTGAATACATCTTTATCACAATTTCCTTTATATATGACCAATTCCTTTGATTTTCCCTAACAAATTATATTTCTGTAGTTTCAAGAAACTGGAAAGCTTGTAGTATATTGTTTCAGAAGATAAAATGATCATCTCTGCAAAATATAATTCCATATTTGATTTGTGAGTACACATAGACTGAAAAAGAATCTTAAAAGACTATACCAGAAACAACAGTTGATGTTGATGTTGCATAGTTGATGTTGCACATATGCATATATGCAACATCATATATGTTGCATATATGCATATATGTTGCATATATGCATATATGTTGATGTTGCATATATGCAACATCAACTAGACTATGGCTTCTTAAACTTTTCCACTTGAGACCCCCTAGGCCTGATAAAAGTTTACATGACCACATGTAGATAGGTATATAAAATAGTATAAACATCAAACATTTACTGATAACAAATCAGAATTTTCAAGGCTTGCTAAACAGGGTGACTTTCCTTTTTATGAAGTAAAGTGGATGCATCTTCTGAAAAGTCCACTGTAAGGCAGTGTACAACATATTCGTGTAAAAGTCTAAACTGCCATGGGGTAACATTCAGGAAAAAAATTCGGGAGCCCAACATTGAGCTTAGGGGACCTCATTTGGGGTCGTGATCCATAGTTTAAGAAGTAATGGTTGAGACAATATTTGAGTAGGTACAATCATATAAACAGAATAATACCTCTGAACCAGAATGAATGAATGAATGTTCACTAAACTATGTATTTCATGAATTTATTTGGCATACATTCTGGTAAATTTCAATCTGTAAGCTTTAATATTTAACCCCCCCCCCCCCCCAAATGATGATGTGTCTTGATAAAGTGCCATTTACATTTCATACTGTGGTTACACTTATTTCAGAGTAAAAACAAATGTTAAACAAAAGGTTAAACATGTTTCCAGGTACCATTATCACATATTTCTAACATCCAAAAAACCTCCAAGTGTATCAATGTGCTCATATAATTTTCAATTGTGTAGAATTCAACACTGAAAGAAATATCTCTGCATACTTAAAAATACTCTTAAAATTATAATGCAAGGCTGGATACAAAGGTGCACATATGCTGTTTTATACCTTATACCGAGTGAAAATAGTAAGAGTTCAAAGATAGTTTGAGTAAGTTTGAGAGTAGGTATGGCCTACCTACCTTAACATGACAAGAGCCTGCATGCAGTAATATATGTATATTGCTAGCTAATGTTTTCTTTCCAATACACTGAATAAGAGTCCATGCGCCAAAAAGAACATGACAAAAGACAATCCTATAGCTATCTTTGAACAAACAAAAATATTATTCTCACAATTCTAAGCAGTTACAACAAAGTAACTGGACAATAAACATTTTCTTTTAAAAATGTAGGAAAGCTTTTCAGGAATACCAAAGTTTTTGATTGATTTAAAGAGCAACAAATGATCAAAAATATCAGAGCAAAGACACACCTGTTATTATCAAGTCAGATAACATGGATAAAACAAATCTCAATCTTAAAAAAATGTATCTCAATATGAAAACCCACAAATTTAGAGTTGTATATTTCTGATATCAAATATATTAGCAAATTTTAGTACTGAATAGATTTATCCATGTCATCTTCAAAAAGAGTACTAAAGCAAATGTTTACCTGTATCCAAACGCTTTACAGGGGACTCATCATCCACCTCAGAATCTCCACATGCGCTTCTTGATCTTTTTCTGGGCTGCAGTAGTGTCTCCAACCTTGGAAGGACTACAGACAAAAAGGTTTTGGTCCCTAGCTGTGGAGAAGTTGGCTGGGTTTCAGTGTTCTTTGCAGACTTTGGGGGGCTTACACTTTTCGATTTGCAGAAGAGAATGGATGTACGTCTGTTTACATCAGTTGATGACTCAGCTACAGCAGAAACAGTCGACTCACTGAGATTATTGTCAAGTAAGTTTTCTGGAGTGTGTCCATTTATTTCTTTCTGAATGGAAGTACTATACAATTCATTGTCAAATTTTACTCTTTTGTAATGCTTATTCTGCTCTGGATTGAGTTCTACTGGTTTGAGGGTTGGTGGCTCTGAATTAGTCTCCGAGTTTGAAGGAAGAGGTAATGCATCTGATGGTTCAAGTTTAGGGGGAGATTTATCTCCTGAAAAAATTAATAAAGTTGGGTTTTTGAAAACTGATAAGTTATACGAGCTACTACATAAAACTTAGTATCAGATATGTAGCCCACAATATTTATTATTGTTTGATACAAAGTATAACACCTCACATGCATAAACTTTAAACAAACTATTCTAGTTAATGCCTGAATTTATATGGGAATATAATAGATATAGAAAAATATTGCTTCTAATCCTCAACATAATATGCATACTAGGAAGTCTCACTGGACCACAGGACTTACAGTGCTACTGTGGGAGGTAATTGGAGAATTCTGATTTGTGACCATATTTAAGCCAATAAAATACTGTATACTGGGACGGGTAATGGTATTTTATGGCTTAAATTGTTTATGGGAGTACTTTCAACTAAATAAAGGAAGATGGTAAGAATATAACTAATTTATTAAACTATTTGTTATCTTCTCTCCTTTTTTGCAGCTTGAACTACAAAATTAATATGGGGCTAATCAAAGTTCTGCTAAATTAATATTATTAAGGACTGCAAACCCATTTTAGGATTATTGCTAAAGGTTTCAAATTGCACTGAAATCTTAATGAAAAATAAGTATCAAAATATTATTTGTAAGAAATAATATAAAAAAAAACCCTGTCCAGCTGTCAATGTGTATGACCCCCCTCACTATTTATTTCAATGCCATTTTAGGCATTCTTTACAGTATTTATGCATTGGTTATGCATATTTTGGTCAAGAAAGCCAATTATACTAGTTTTTTGGCAGAAACATCTCCCTTACTCTGCAGTTCATATACAATACCCAGGAACTCCATACAGACTGAATAAGGATACAAAAATGACAACTATTTCTACTAAAGCATTTTGTCAGTATCTTAAACTGACAGCACTCGGTGAATGCTTTTGTGTGGTCAGCAACTCCAACAGTCCTTGATAACAGCTTCAATTTAACATTGATTTCTGATATTGTGCAATTCAAATGTGAAACACCCCTAATAAATAACTCAAACCACAACTTCAGATTTTAAACTCATTCATATTCATATTGAGAAATACTATCAGAACATAATGGCCTAAACCCTATTGCTTGTCCCAAAGAAGTTTGAACCACTGAGGAACTTAATACGTCAATGATTGCATACGTTCCAATGATTCAATGGGTCTAAATCAAAACTAATACCTAGCATTCATTCCATAAAATGTTTCCATGCATAACCTTGATTTTTTTAAAATTTGTTTTGTACTGGTACTTTAAGAAGTATCCATAAAACGTAATCCTAAAATCAATTTTCTTAGAAAGTTTAGATAGAAAGGGGAAGTTATTTCATGCCAGTCAAATGGCACAAACAAAAAGATATGGTGGAAGTCCAAGAGCTGTCGACAGTAAGTAAACCCACACAAAGTTAGATGCTTGGTGACTACAGGGCTTGTCAAGACATAAAGCTGAATTATAGGTGCTTGGTGACTACAGGCCTTGCCAAGACATAAAGCTGAATTCTATGGATATTTTTCTTAAAGAGTATAGCAAAAGTCTGGAATGGAACAAGTGCAGCTTTCCAGGTGGTATTAAAACTGGACATTCACTTGAAAAGTAGTGCCTTCATGAGCAATTAACCTGTTTATTATTATCCTCTATGGTGTAGTTTTATATAATCCATTTAAATATGACATTACAAGTTGGGTGTACAGTTTTTGAAATGACACCCAACTGATATGAGTCATTACACGAAAATGCATGTTTGTGTGTCTACAAACACACACACACACATACTAAAGAATAGGATTTATGCCTCCCAAAAATTAAGAGTTCTGATTTATTCCAAAAAGCTTTTCCTTCAAAATCATGCCCTATTAAAGGCCAAGTAGCAAAAAATGGAGAAACTGAATTGCTTTATCTCGCAAATGTTCCCATTCTCATTTTTCCACTGGAAAAATATAACGTTTGAGAGTACCTTTAAAAAAGCACACATTAAAAATTCTCTCTAGTGCAATGCAAGATTCTTTCTAACCCAAATTTTTATTCAATTGAAGTGTTTAGTATAATTTTTTTAAAATAAAACAGTACATAGCATTAGATAATACTAAAGTACACTGCACCTACAAGGGACTGCCAATTTATGAGATGAGCATAACAGGTTGTGAATTAATACATGCCCTCTGCTGGTGAACTCTGGTTTAATCAGATATACCAGAAGTACGCAGAATCTGCTGTCCTGCAGGACTGGACTTACACTAATCCTTTTTCATCTCAAGAAAACTTAAACAGATGAGTTACATGCTATATAGTACCGTATATACTCGAGTATAAGCCAAGTTTTTCAGCCCTTTTTTGGCTGAAAAAGCCCCCCTCAGCTTATACTTGAGTCAAAGTCATTTAGTATTTTACTCTGTTATTATTATTTTTATTACATTTATTATTTTACTCTATTATTAATATTACATTTATTATTTTACTCTATTATTGTTATTATATTTCCATTATTTTACTCTATTATTATTATTATTATTACATTTATTATTTTAGTCTCATTATTATTTGAAGGATATGTAAGCACATTTACATTGCATAAGGTTAGAATAATAGTTTAATCAGAGTTGGCCGTCTTACCTTAAATTACAATTTTATGTAAATATTCAAACACATTTACCAATTTACCACCCTCGGTTTATACTCGAGTCAATACATTTTCCCAGTTTTTTGTGGCAAAATTAGGTGCCTCGGCTTATATTCGGGTTGGCTTATATTTGAGTATATACGGTATTTAAGAATCCAATGCTTTTAATATCGTTCTAAATTTCAACTTGATATTTTGTTACTTTACTTATTCTTAATAGTTAACTATTTTTCCTCCTTTTCTGATATTTTTTCCCTGATTGAGATATATAAGGTATTTACATACGAGGTTAAAATGAGGTATTTGAGTTGTTGAAAGAAAATAAGTTTAGGTTTGGGAAATTAGGGAATTGTGTATTTCAATTTTCTCTACATTTTCATTCCAATCAACTAAAGAGGGTGAAAAGTTTTAATATTTCTCAAATGTTACCTTCCAAATTTCTCTGGGGACCCCAGAAGAAACATGCAGATTTGGATTTTTTTAAAACCTTTTGTTATGCAGTTATGAACATTAAACCTATATTTGTTAACAACACAATTTGTTAAAATCCAAGAAACTGAACAACTAATTCTAAATAAACTTCGTCCTTTCTCCAAGCGCATGTGATAAATACTACCAACTAGTTAATATTGCCTTAATGATCTATGTATTTCTTACCTTCTTCTTCACCTTCTTGTTCTAATACTGCATTTTCCTCCTCGAAACTTCCAATACCTGACTCAATCTGAGGGGGCTGATGTTGTTGCTGACTTATCTTGATCCGAATCAGGTTAATTTCCTTCTTTAAAAGCTTTGCTCGTTTGCTCCGAGACCCACTGGATTTCATTGCACACGTAAGATCAAGCTTTTCTAACAATTCACGCAGCTGTTCTTCCAAAGACATGTGGACTCTGTTAGCAGGATTCAATAACCTATCCACTGCAGTTAAGAGAGAAAGAGATTGAACAGCATTTCTCCCACAGCACTGAGAACAAAGCTGACACAGTGTGACTTAACTGTGGCACCAATACTGAGTAAATTGCAAGATTCGATTCCACTAATGCATAGAACAGGGTTTCTCGGTAAGGTCTGCTTGACTCCTAAGATTGCATAAGAGGTTGCTAGAATTCTGTTACAGATCTTGATTGAAAAAGTAGACCTTTTATGTGCTGCAGATACAATAAATCTTATGCAAAAGGGAAAAGGGTTGGAAAACGCACATATTTGACTGCAGAATCATGGAAGATAGAACTGAAATTTCCACAACCTGCACTCTGCTGCCTCAATCCAGAAAACATGTATTAGGTTTTCTGCAAAGAAAACTGCAGAGAGTTCCATGCAGTGATAATTTTTAAGGACATGCAATCTTTGAAACATGCCTAATAGAGCTGTGCAACTGAGGACAAAAATGTTTCAAAACTCATTACAAAATTAGGGGGCATTGGGGTTTTGTTTCTCAAGTGTTTCTAAAGTATAATGAAATTTCTGTTATTATAACAAGACTAAGGATATTTTGTTACTTTTTTGTTATAGTAATTGTACAAGTGGAGAAACTTCTAGGGCTCCAGTCTCCCTAGTTTTTACAGCTATTGGGGTAACATGTTTACCACTGTTAGCCCATTAAGATTCAGAACATTTCACTTATCCACGGATTTCTGGGGAAACTTTAAAGTTTTTATAAACATCATTTTTTTAAAAAAAATAAAGAACTACAAGAGCTATCTCCTTGAATTTTCTATACAATGACACAGGATAAAAGGGGATAAATTCCCACAACTTTCAGAAATATTCATAAATCTACAGATGTTAGGGATTTTAAAAAAAGTTTTGACAAAAACATTTTTTTTAAAGCCACAACAGCTATCTCATTGAATGTCTCTCATATTAACCAGTAGAATTTCCATTTAGGGATTTCCTCCCAGCCCAGCACAGAGTTTTACTTACTAGGAGTATCGGTTAGTCCTCCCTCTTTGCACATTCAACTACTTGCTGGAACTCTGGCTGGCTGCTGCTACGGAGGGACAAATCTCTCCCCTCTTCTGATTGGGGCCTTATGATGCTGGGCAGAATTCTGGGAAATGTAATTTAGGGCAGGGCCTTTTGAATTTTCTGATATAGGATTCCTTGCCTTCCCAAAATACATTTCCAGAATTCAGGGCTTTCTCAGTCTCTTTCCCAGCAAATTTTGCTTTCTCTCTGCTGCTTTCCTCTCCTAATGGTGAGAGGTCATTAATTTAAAGAGGAAAAGCAGTCTTTTTGGCTTGGCTTTGCTTTCTTGTGCTGAAAATAAAACTGACTTCAAGAGGCTTCTGAGATTTACAAAATTCAAATAAAAAAGTATTGGTTAAGTTTCAATTTTTAAGTTTTTGGCACAGGCCACGCCCATGCGTCAGATATTGCATCATAAGTATGAATTTAACAAATTTGATATGACTAATGAAAAAAAATGCACACCCATAATGCCTACATATGTTGAAACTTGTGAACACTGATATGGACACAAAATGCCAGCATGTCCATTATATCTTGATCATACAGTATCAATATTTATTGCAATAGATCCTTACCGTCTTCCCAAGTAAAAGGTGGAGGAGATTCAAGTTTAGGCCGCTCAGGTAAGTGCATTCCAGTTTCATTATTATATCCAATTGCCTCAGCATCTCTTCTAGCTTGTCTCAGAACAACACCTCCTTGGTCTCTTAATCGCACAGCAGCTCTGTAGAATATTGTATCTTTTGCATTGTATTTCATACAGTTATCAATAATAAAGTTGAAATCTTCTTCAAACTCACTGAGATTTTTGTAACCTTGGCCATCTAACCGTTCTCTCATAGTAGAAAAATCCATTGGATGTTTAATATGATCCAAATAATCAGGAACCTGAAGTGTATTTAAAAAATGAAGTTTTAAAAATTATCTGTCTTTTAAAAAATTCACAAAGACTCCAATTTTATTTACCTACAAAAAGCAAATTTGTCTGATTTTTCCATAAAAACACATTAATTGAATCAACAAGATCCAACTAAATGTGTGCATGTTTTCAGAAAAACATGAAACTTTTTTTTTCCAACAATAATTTTAAAGGTAATTCTTTTTTTTCTGTTTTCTCCCACACTACTTTTAAACAACATTTTTTGGAAAATTAAAATGTGGATGGGAACTGTGTGGCTGTTCAAATGTTGAACTGCAAATTCCAACCAACTCTATCTAGTATAGCCAATGGAGAGGGAGGCCGGAACCTGCAGTTTAACAGCTACAGGGCCTTAACACTCTCATCCATGACCTAAAAGTAAATTTCAGAAAATTTTATTATGATAGAGTACACATTTGCTCATAAAAATAATAGTAAGAAAAAATACAGTGTTTCAGAAAATGAATGGAAGTAACAATTTATCATTTCAAATTAAAGCTATTAAACTATATGGTAAACAACAATGATATTTTTAAAAGAAAAATAGTCATTTTTGCCAAACAATATTATTTATATTGGATTGTTCAATACTGATACTGTCAACCAAATAGAAACGTTTAGGGTTTACCTCTTTCAGATTCACTGGCTGAGCAAATATACGAGCAGAGTCCTTTTCCTGTAGCTGGTCCAGGACTGACCGTAGCAAAACAGTAAATGGAGTTAGCTGAAGCTCCATGGCAACCTGCTCCACTTTGATCTACACAACAGAAGAGAAATACAGATCATTAATGAATATGACTACAGGCTACTTAGCTATTGTAATGATGATACAAACCAAGGTTTAACATCAACCTTGCAGCTCAGTCCAAAGCAGTAGTAAATTATTTTCTCTTGTGTAGGACTCTGGCATTAATATAATAAAGGTACAGTGGCATATGCAGCTGAAGCACTGTTTGTTTAATCATCATCTGGTCACTAACAGATCAACTACAAAATCAGATGCAGATAGCCGAACACAGACCTAGCCTGTAGAAACATCTGTGGCCTTATATCAATGCTTGACATTTTCTTCTCATTGCAGAAAATTCAAAATAATTTGGTTCTTACAGTATAGCCTGCGCAGGTACCTCTGGACAGTATCTTGCATTCTTAAATGAGAATTTTCTAAAGGTAGGCAAACAGTGGCCCTCCAGATGTTATTTACCTACAACTTTCATCATCCTAGGCAGGGCGGCTGGACTGCAGCTCCCACTACCTTGACCGGCACAGTCAACAATAAGGACAGGGTGGCAGCTTCTCTCTTTTATCAGTTGAAACACCAAGTGTTGTCTACTCATTTTTAATGAAATTTCTACTATTTTTTGAAATGCTCAAAAAAACCAAGTACATTTTCCCTTCAAATGAGCCATACATATAACTCTTAGGATTTTATTTAAAGTTTACTTAATATTTAAGAAGGCAATTTAGAATTACTTACATTTCATGCTTCGACCCACAAACATACAGGAAATGAAAACTAATCACTTTCCAGTCACTTTTCAATTGAGGGGATGGGGGTGTTGGGGCACAAAATTGATTCATATCACAATTGCCCTTTTCTGTGTATTTAAATCTTGCCTTCAAAATCCAACCAAAAGCAGTGGTATGCATACCTGTTCTCTTTTTAATTTTTCTCGTTTTCGTATAAGCTCTATCAACAACCGTGCTCTCTCAAGGTCATGGCGAAGCCTTTGCCAGTACTTCAACTTCTCCTTTAAGGCTTGTGTTTCTTCATCATCTTCCCTCTTAAGCAAGAAAAAAGTACTTTATGTGCTATTCCACTGTTACCACACATCTCAGTAGTTATTCTACTCCTATGTTTAATTCAAACAAGCATTTCATAAACAGTCCAACAAAGTTGGGAACTGACTACTAATAAAATACTGCAGTTCTTTTTGTTGCAGAGCGAGGAGGAAGTTAAAGTGAACCTAGCTGTCTGTGGCATACTTTACCAACTCAAATCATGAAGTAACTACACTTGAATTAGAAAGGATACATACCTGTTGAGTGTTTCTTTGAGACTGCAAACTGGACTGCAGCCTTCTCAGTAAAGGGACACCATTTCTGGACAGCCTTTTAAGTAACCAGTAACTGTGTACTCTTTCAACAAATTGTTTCTTCCGCTGAATAGCCACCCGATTCATAATTTTATTCAACCTACAATATGGGAGGGGAAAATAATAGATATTTCTGTAATGAAGTGTAAAAAGTTTTCAGAAGAGTTCTCTCACACTAAAAAGTTGTTCTTAAATGGTGACATGTTTGTAGGATGAAATATCAGAAGAGTGAATCTAGGCATGTACATACACAGACGATGTTTTTAGTGTATCTTTTGAATGGCAAACCATCACACCACAAACTGTCCCAGAGCTTTCTTTAGTTTCAAAAGGGTTATCATACACCATGGAGATATTCTGCTCAATCCACCAAACACATGAGCATGTGTAAATAATCATAATTATTTGTTTTCAAAATACTGTAAACAATTATATAAGTTGCACAAAACCTAATGAGAATATCATATTTACTTGTTACTTAGTAACATCAACAACATATACGGGCAGCCCCCAAGTTATGAACAAGATAGGTTTTGTAGGTTTGTTTTAAGTTGGATTCATATGCAAGTCAGAACAGATGCATTTTTAAGTGTAACTTCAGCTACATATATATAGTTTTAGATAGCATAGGAAATGGTTAACATCTTTGGTATTTGTTTTCCTGA